CGGCATGGTTGCAGAACGAAAAGGAGCGCCGTGGTGGTGGAGGGTCGTGAGTGATGACCAAGAGCTGGGGAGGCTGCTGGTGCGTTGCGGACATGGTCGGGCGCCTCCTCTAACACTCTAGCAGAGTCAGATGGCGTTCAGGTCATGCCTGGTAGGCGAGCTAGCAGTCAGCGGCCGAAGTTGCGGTCGACTTGACTAGGCTGGAGCCAAAGGACACGATCAATTTCGTGCTACGCCTGCGGCATCCCCAGCACCAGCAGCAAGAAGTGCGCCGCGTGCAAGGTTATGCGATACTGGTGCGTCCCCCCTCCTCCTCCATACATGTTGCTTGCTTGGTATATATGGCATAGCTATGAGCGTGTCTTGCACTGTCACCGAGTTCCTGCGGACATCAAACAACGAGAAGGTTGTTTTACAAGAGGTTTATACCTGGTATGATCAGAAAAAACTGGTGTTCATCTTTACTGTATTTATTTTTGGCACACAGGTTTTGTTCTCGGAGCATATATAGGACCTCTCGGCAGGTCAGACATTCATTGAACTTGACTACAACATCTCTATCAGTTTCCGAATCATGACCAAATCATGGTGCTCCCACTATTCTCACCTGACGTGTTACATAAATGTTTTTTTACAGTAGTTCAGGGTTTAAGGCAATTAAGGATGTTATTTAGGTTCCTCTATAGATTCCTCCCTATATTAAGTATTTCTCATGTGCTTGCATCGTGGTGTTTAGTTTGGTTTGTAGGAGGAGATACATAGAGTTGCTCTGTTGTATTTGGTCCGCCAAGGTGTGCTACTTTGTCATCATTAAGTTTTTCATGTGGTCTGATTGCTAAAAATTTCTGTACGGAAGGAATGCTTAAGCAAAATAGACTATAGAAGTACTGATGATGGTCTGATTGATAATATCTTCTGTACCCAAGGAATACTTAAGCAAAATAGACTATAGAAGTACTGACGGAATGATGTTCTTTGTGCTCTCATAGCTTTTGCTGCAAATGTAAATTTTCTTAATCTGCATCTATTTTTGTGCTCTCATATGGAAGGTTTATGCGTTAGTACTATTGCGGATTCTTTAACCTTTTCATGTCTGATGGCATGAACTTATCTATAGTAGGTACATGCAAAGGAACTTAACAAGAGAACAATAGTCTTTTGAACAAGGCTAATTTGTTACCTTTAAATATCAGGTCCACACACCACACACACACTATAAATGAGAGAGAGAGAGAGAGAGAGAGAGAGATATTTATATGTATCTTTTGCAGGATTGACAGCACATGATGAGAAGAAGACATGGTTTACCACTACAGAGGATCGGATAGCGTCTTCGTGGATTCAGATAAGAATAACATTGTAAATGGGCAAGGTATCATGTACAATCAAGCATTGCAAATGACTAGCTGCTGCCTTGTTTAATTTTTTATGATTCCCCAAAATTTCCTTACTAGAATTTTGAGAAGTTTGGCCATCAGTTCTACTGCTTGGTCATTTTATATATCATGTTGCAGTCTTTCTTTTAATAAAAGGTAATATTAACACCATCCATGTACTACTATTGTGTTTGCGGTCTGATACATGGTGACTAATTTTCATATACATTATGTTTCATATTATCAATGAATATGTTTATTTTTTTATGCATGGACCCTACAACTGGGTTATTATATGTGTGCTGTTTTTTTCCTTTTCACTTCATTACCATCTTTGGGCTGAGACTTTATAACTATTGCAATTATGTTGAGAGTGTGCCATAAACTAAGGGCAATCCTAAATGGATATGTCCAGTTCGACATAGCATTGCATATTGCAGTATCCACAGAACTAAGAAAGGACCGTTCCAACTGGCAATGAGTATTGGAAGGTATAAATACTACATAACATATGGTTTCAGAAGTATAATAACAAGCTCATATGGTTTCAGAAGTATAATAACAAGCTCATATGGTTTCTGAAGTAGAAACCATATGCACCATTTGATGTTTGAAGTGGAAATGTATCCATGATAGTTAGCTGTTGTTGTCAACGATAAAAATTGGAAGAAAATTAATAAAGCCATTTTCATTGGAGAATAATTGGAGGGTAGCACCCCACCGGTTGTTATATTACTTGCAGGACGAGATATTTTGATCGAACAGATAAAAACAAAGAGATAAAGAGCTAAAACAAAAATATGGGGGAAAAATATGGGGGGCTGGTCAGCATGCTAGGTCAGAGCAAAGCGAAAAACTGTATAAATAAGTCCCAAGGAGTGTGATACATTATGTAGAATAGAATATTTGTTCTCCATGAAACCTTTCCTGGGCTCCATAAAAAAATTGTGCTCATGCTTGTGCAGATTCTAAAATTTTGATTCGTTGTTCGGGCATTCGGAGTTCACAATTATCTAAGTTTCTCTTATGTTTGTTTTCAAAGAATTTGGTACTTTAGAGTCTTGCTATTATATTATCTTTGAATCTAATTAGAATAGATTAGTAGTATGATATAGTGAAGTAGTCTTGCACTCACTTAATTTCAATCGGGTAAAAAAAGATAATTTATTTCATCCATAAGTAGAACACCCGAGCTAATCGATACACCGTTTAGAAAATTGATACACTGTTGCAGGGAGAACAGCGCACGCAGCAGTGGTCGAGGGCTGAGCACGTGTCGACATCGTCCGTGGCCGCTGTTGGTTGCTGAAGGAGGCATGCATTAGGTGGTGCAAGGGCATGCTAGTGATGGAGTCGCGCATCATGTGGTTGGGCAAGTAACGCTCGGGAACTGCCAGGCGCCCAGCCGCCTAGGCTGACGCGGGAGGCGCGGTAACTCAAGGAGGAAGATGTAGTCATGTGGAGGGAGTGACGACGGAGGGCCTTGGATGGCTGGACGAGACCCTACATCATAATCAAGGAGGACCCTACATCTAAAGGAAACAGGGCAGTCTACTCCCTCCGTTCCTAAATATTTGTCTTTTTAAAGATTCCACTATAGACTACATACAAATGTATATAGACATACTTTAGAATGTAGATTCACTCAATTTGCTCCGTATATAGTCCGTAGGGGAATCTCTAAAAAGACTTATATTGAGGGAGTATATCATAAGTCTATTGCCGGATTTCTAGAAGAAGGAAAAAGGGAGAATGGTTGTTGCTGCTACTCTGCATCTGCTTTAAAATGTGAGTGCTTATATCAGGAAGATCTTGGTTGCAAAAGTGATCAAATATAATAATCAACACAAACACATTATCGGTTCTATAATTAAATTCCTAAGATCTTATAATTCTAAATCAGATTGGTTGATTATACAATCAATTAACATTATTTGGTGTAGCATGTTGTTTAGCATTTTAGAGTTCCATCCTCTTTAGTAATGAAATAATAACGAACTCATATTAGTGGATCCGTAAAAGTGTATCATATTAGTTTGACGAGGGTATCTAGCAAGTCAATTCTTGTATGACGAGAATAATGAAAAACCAAGTGGCAAAAGAAGATAAATGAGGAAAGAAGAGATAATTTTTCGCTCGAGGGTGGGGCTGTAAGGAATCTGTGGCTCGGGTAAACAAAAACATCTTGGTGGCCATATAGAAAGAAATGGTTGGAAATTGGGATAAACATGTTTGTTGGACATGACACATTCATGAAACATAAAACCATCTGATTAGTCTCTCTCAGTTTTAATTTGTTATATTCCATTTCATTTTCAATCTCCTTCCCTCAATCCTCCCGATTCAGTTTTTTCTTTCCAAACCTGACTCCACCCTATCTAGATCTCGAGGGGTTGCCTCCTGTCTATCTCGTCCCATCTTGCTGCCAGGCATGGAAGAGAGGAGGGAGAGCAGAGGAGCACGGTGGCCTCTGGTCGTTGCCCAGGAAAAGGTAAAGGCCGTGGCACGACTGCCCGTCGCGATGCCGTTGTTGCTTGCGTGCTTGTTTCCCTCCCTACACCCCCACGTCCAACTCGATGTTCGGCTGCCGCAACGCCGTAGATGACCAAGTCTGGGGCGCGCCCTCTTGTGAATGTCCAATTAACTGAGGGCCGAAGGTGGGGAAGGCTTCGATATTATTGATGTGTATTAGCTGATTGTCAAGAAAAAGATGTGAGTTAGTTGAGACGACATTATTCTTGGTTATTTTACCTCCGTGGGTAGATCTTAAAATTTACCAAAAGCTCGTTGCAACGCACGGGCGTTCTACTAGTTATAGTATGGATATAGGGGTTCGGACATAAAAGATACGGATGTGGACGACACGATTTGAAGAATGCCCGATCACTGTCCGCGAGCGTTTGAGAGCCCGGATTTACAGTGAATTGGTTTTACCCATCTGATTTTTCCCATCCCGGTGTTATGATTATGTTACTAAACCCAAGAAGCAACAAAATAAGAAAGAAGTGTCATTTCCAGTCACGTGTCCCTGCCCTTAATTAAAGCACTAATGTAGGAGCAGTTCACAACAGCATCATTACATAGGCTGGAACACCAACAAAGCTTGCCTTGGTTTAGTTACTGCTCTTTCACTTCTCATTCGTTTCACTTTCAACCTGGTTCTTGGAGAAGCTCACCAACACATGTGTGCACCATTTATCTTTCATTTATTGCAAAACATCTACCGTGAAGAACAGCAATCTCAAAACAGAAAATCGCAGCTGCTGAAGTAAACATAAAATTGAGAATGTAAAAATAAATTACTCGCGCCCCCAGTATAGAAACATAAACATTGACTTTCGTTCTTGGCTTCCTGGAACCATAAACATTGAGAACTAGTATGAGAACAACAAGAAGGAGCATTCGGGGCATATAAAACACCAATTTTGTTCTTCAGAATTCCACACTTACATCACAATAAAATTACTACAAAAGGGAACAATAATCCCTTTTCTATACACAAGTCAACCTTCTTTTTCCACTGCATTCCTTCTTGCCACCGCAGTACTTTACAAGGGAAGTTACTAGTATTGCTTGTTTGACACTCGTGAGCTAGTGGTCCATGGAGGCGTCGGCGGTCTGGCGTCAAGACTTGGACTTGCCGGTGGTGGCGGCGGCGAAGCCGTGCATGGCGCTGTAACCGCCGGAACCAAACCCGAGGCAGCCGAGAAGCAGCGCCTGCCGGTACGGCAGGAACGTGCGCCGCCGCATATCCTCCGCCTCTGCCCGCCTCGCCTCGTAGAGCCGCTCATGCGCCGAGCTCCTCCTCCCGCGCTTACCCATCGCCGGGGTGGGGTTCTTGTTGGGAGCTGCCAGCGGGGAGTTCGTCTTGGGGCTCGCTGGCGTTGGTGGACGTTGGTGCTTGGAGCCGTCGGACTTGTACGGATGGATGAGCTTCTTCAAGAACCGCCACCGGCCGCAGCTTCCCGAGGCCGAGGACGACCCGGACGACGCCGTCGATGACGAGGACGACGACCGTGACGCTGATGTCGGCGTCCGTACGGATTCTTTCGCCGGGGCGGGCGAAGATAACGGTGACATCCAGTGTGCCCGGAATGGCGAGGCTGAGCGGGACCTGCGATGCACCGACCGGCTCCGGAAACGGCCGCGCTCGTCCAATGGCGACGATGCCTCCTGCGGCGGCATCCGATCACCGTTGGGGCGGTCGGCGGTGGGCGGGGGCGCCTGCGGACGGAGGAGGAACGAGGAGAGCCGCATTGGGCGGATCTGGCCGTTGTGGAAGAGCTCGTCGGCTGAGGACATCGCGGCGGCGGCCGGGGACGGAAACTGCAACGAGAAGTCGAAGTCGAAATCGTAGTCGCAGTCACCGGGGCCTCGTGCAGGGCTCGCCGGCGCGCTGAAGCAGTAGCCGGCGGCGGCATGGAACGACGGGTCGCGGGCGGGGGTGGACGGTGCGCTGACGAAGGGGGTGGAGCACGCGCTGCCAACGCTCACGCCGCAAGCGCCGGCGAAGTGATCGCCGGAGCTGGTGTCGGTCGTGGCGGCGGCCATTGCGCAGGCGAGTGGGGTGGTGGGGATAGTGAGATGGGAAGGTGAGAAAGGCTCTTCTTATTAAGAGAGGCTGGTTGGTCGCTTTGCGTTTTAGCCCTTGATGATACTTCCTCCTTTCTGGTTTATAGGGCTTATCTCAAAATTTTAGTTTTTCCATTTTATAAGGCTCAATTTGGTTGTTCCCCATCACATGTTCAGACTTTAAGGTGCATTAAATCATTGCATGCAAGTATTAAGAGAAAACTGACCAATGCATGCACTTTATGCAGGTATGCATTGCAATTAATGCATTCGTAAACATAATTTTTTGAGGAAAACAAGAGCATTAATTAGGTGTTTTTGCAAACTACAAAAAATATTCCACCACTCATCATCTAGCTTGGTTGATGAGATTTTTGAATTGAGCCTTATAAACCGAAAAGGAGGGAGTAAATGTGAATGAACTAGATGAAGCACAACATTAATTTTGGATGCATAGTTATTGGGTATATTAATGCAATGATAAATCAAGATCGTCATCGCCTAACATTTTCCGATTATGGCGCGTTTGATTGGTATTGCGGTGTTGTTGCTAAGGCTAGATACAATGGGAAGTAATTTAGATTAGTAATTAGTCATTTATGTTATTTATTGGGCATCTCTAGTCGAACCCTTAAAAGGTTATAGAGGAATAAAATTTTGATTTTACACCTCTAATTGGCACCTAACCGAACTCATAAACTGTACTATAATAAAGGATTAAAAAATTACTCCTTGACTCCGCGGGCACCTAAATATACTCCTTCACCGAGCGGTAGACTAACAAATCTTCTCCCCCTTCGGCAGCTCTCACCCTACCCCCGCGCCGCATCTACTCCGGCTTGTCGATTCCCGCCTTCGCCGGCGACCACTCGCCACCGCCGACGCTCCGAAGGACCCGCTACGGTCCCCACCCACCCGGATTTGGACCTCTCTCATCGGCGACATTGCGTTTGTGATGGATTCGACAGGTACAGACTCACGCAACCCCCGCAACGAATCTGCACTGCATCTCGGTATGGCCTCCTTCCCTAGGCGCTCGGAGCTCAGTCATCGACTGACCACTGGCACAACTACGCACAATCGCCATCGGCCTGGCTCAACCCTAGCCCAGCAGCTCGCCAGCTCCTCGTTGCCGGTCATCAAGTGTGACCACTACCCGCGACAGGTGCTGCGCCGAGTTTCGACCATGCAGCAACATCCTGGATGGGTGTCCTTCAAGTGCAAAAAAGATGGGGTGAGTGCTTGTTTCTTCGGTTGTTCTTCAGATTCGTCGCAATTTGTAGCTTATTGTTTGCTTGTGTGTAGGATGGATGCAAGTTTTGGTATTGGGATGAAGAGTACATCGATCTATTGATAGCAAGAAATTTGCTAGATGTTCGTACACTACTTGCTAGAGTTGAGACAGGAGATGAGAATAGAGACGACGCAATGTCCAATTGTATGGAGGCGGGGAAGAACGAAGTGTGCAATCTCAAGAAACCGATAGAGAACTGCAACAGTGTGTGCAACGAAGACATAGAGAAAATATTAATCCAACTAGTTGGAGCACTTATGGAAATTGGATTTCTATTAAAGTGTCTAATTGTGGTTATGGTTTTATTTAGACTGAGAGAGAATTGAGGTAATAGAAAATTTAGCTTATCCCCAAGATGTAAAAGGAATGCAAACTTTTATGGGGCATGCTAGTTTCTATGGGAGGTTTATTAAAGATTTCTCCAAGGTTTCAGAACCTTTGACTGGCCTCTTGCAGAAAGATGTACCATATTCTTTTGGTGAGAATTGTACACATGCTTATGAAAAGCTTAGGGATGCACTGATTATGGCTCCCATCATCCAGCCCCCGAAGTGGGATGAACCTTTTGAGATAACGTGTGATGCTAGCAATTATGCTATTGGAGCTGTCCTAGGACGACGAGATGGTAAAAAAACTTAACGTTGCCTTTTATGCTAGTAGGAGCCTGGATGATGATCAAAAGCATTTAGCCACAACTAAGAAAGCATTACTTGCCATTGTCTTTTCTTGTAACAAATTTAGACATTACATTATTAACTCTAAAGTAATTATGCATACGGATCATCGTGCCTTAGTTATCTTGTTACAAAGAAGGACGCTAAGCCCCGTTTGATTCGATATATATTGTTCAAGAGTTTGATCTACAGATAGTAGATCGAAGGGGCGAAGACAACCAAGTGGCAGATCACCTATCACCCATGGAGAGGATACCTTACGAACCCGTTCTAATAAATGAGTCCTTTCCAGGTAAGAGTTTGGCTATGATTAAAAAGATAGATCCTTGGTTTGCATAATATGCTAACTTTTTTGTAGGAAAGTACATGCCATAAGATGAACTATCGCCAGAGAAAGAAGTTCTTCAATGAGTTAAAATACTACTTCTGGGATGACCTTTTTTTATCGGCATGGGCCAGATAATATGATTAGATGGTGTGTTCCAGAACACGAGATGAACGTCATTCTTGTTAAGTGCCACAGTAGCCCTTACGCAGGACATCATGTTGGGGGCTGAACCGCTACCAAAGTACTTCAATCAGGATTCTATTGGCCTACACTTTTCAGATATGGGCACAGGTTTGTTAAAAGTTGTGATGCATGTCAACTCATATGTGATATAGGTAGAAGACAAGAAATGCATATGAACTATAATCTAGTTTGTGAACCTTTTGATGTTTGTGGCCTAGATTATTTGGGACCATTTCCAGTCTCCAATGGGCATACTCACATTCTTGTGGCTGTAAATTATGTTACCAAGTGGGTTGAGGAAATCCCTACGCACCACGCCGACATTGTAACCTCACTAAAAATGATAAAGGACATAATTCTTCCCAGGTCTGGAGTACCTAAAGTTCTTATTACTGACAGTGGATCTCACTTTATACAAGAAATTTTCAGGAGGATCCTTCATATGTATGGAGTTACTCACCGAATAGTTTCTCTCTTATCATCCTCAAACAAGTGGCCAAGTGGAACTCATAAACTGAGAGGTAAAGATGATACTATAGAAGATGGTGCATAAATCCAGAAAAGATTGGGAAAGGAAGTTAAATGAGACCCTTTAGGCCTACCACACCGCCTACAAGAACCCAATGGGCATGACACCATATAAGATGGTATACGATAAGGCATGCCATTTACCCCTAGATTTAGAGCACAAAGCTTATTGGGCAGTCAAATTGTAAATTTTGATCTTAAAGAAGCAGGGAGAAGAGAATGTTAGATATGCATGCCTTAGGAGAGCTCTGGAGTAATGCATATGAAAGTGCCTGGTTGTTTAAAGAAAAAGTTAAGATGTGGCACGACCAAAAGATCTTGAAACGAACATTTGCTGCGGGGAACAAAGTCCTCCTATTTAATTCTCTTCTTAAGTTGTTTCCACGGAAGCTCAGATCTTGGTGGGAAAGGCCCTATGAGATTGAAGAAGTTTACAATTCCAGAGACGTTTGCTTAAAAGGGGGAAAGATGCCCCATGGATCATAAACAATCAATGCTTCAAGCTATACCTTGCTGATGAACAGAAGGAAGAACGAGAGGTAGAAGAGGTAATAAGTTTCAGCACGATCGAAGAAGCTGAAACATTCAGAAGGAAGAAGGCAGGTATAGTAGAATAATAATGTGTCCTCTAATAGATGTCAATATTAGCCTTAATTAAGTTTTTTTGTTGTGTCAGACCTATTTGACTTAGTGCTGAATCGCTAAGTTTTTGTGTGGACTTGGATATTCTCTTTACTAGCTTTCTAGGGAGGAAATTTCCCTAAGGAAAAGTTCCACAAGGAGGCCAATAGAATCAAAGATGTCGCACCATATGACCAGCCACGGTCGTATGAGCGCTCGTATGCAAAGGATGCGGAAACGGCGGAGATGTCAGAATAAAGGATAACCTATTAGAAGACCACCAGTGGTCGCATGACTGCTCACATGCTTCCTCGACGCCAGGCGACGCGGTAACAGAGTCAAAGATGCGGTACCATCTGATCGTCTATGCTTATATGGGTGCTCACATGGATCACCATCATCATCATCATCATCATCATCATCATCATCACTACTGTCATCATCATCGGCATCCCAATCCATCTCATTATAACATCAGGAACCCTAGTGGATCATCTTGTGTGTTACGTGTGTGATTAATTCATGTTTACCATCGCAACCCTTATGATGTTTGTTGTCTCCATGTGTGAGTAGAACCCTAGTTCCCGGGGATATGGATGAACCTTGGTATGTATAGGATCTGAAACGTTATATTGGATATGAGATCCTCTGTTGAATGCTTACTTTAATAAATTTCATGAATGTTGTGAAGGGGCCCCACTTAGCATTACCGCGGAAAGGCCATGAAGTGTATCACTTTCGTTATAAAGGTTAGGACGTGAAGGTAATTCGAGCTAACAGTAAAAGGCTTTGCTTCTAGCCTTTGCAATTGAGAGGGGATTTACGAAGAACCCTTAGAGAGGTCTCATCCATGAGGTAACCCTTAATTACCTTAGTCATAAGCTGCAAGGGGGGACTATGGTGGTGGCATGCGTGGCACGAACTCAACCTAGAGTAGAACATGTACTATACCCGGCTCCACCCAGTATAATCGTCAAGAGTGCCTCAAATATGTAGACCATATTATGTAGATGCACAGGTTACACTAGAATCATAAAAATGGGGATTCCGGACTCCTTGAGAATGCTTTATTCCTCTGTCATTTCCACTTGTCACTTATGCTGTTGTTTTCTATTTTATTTTATTTTATTTACTTTTAGTTCGCTCTACACCAAAATCACTATTCACTTCCGCCCTCACTTTGTTTGTAGTCTACAATTACTTGCAGACACAAATCCATAACTCACTACAAGAGGCAACGCTTAATTCATGTGCTCCCTGTCGGATCGATACTCTTACTTTGAAATTGTTGGGTTTCGTAGTAATTTCAAAAAATTTCCTACGCTCACGCAAGATCATAGTGATGCATAGC